TCCGTTTCTGAAAACAGCCTATCCGGCACAGATGTTCGGCACATTAATGAAATCGTCGAATTAACTTGATGAACAATAGCGCGTTATCAGTTGAAACAGGTAAGCCGCCCGGCCTATAGATGGGGCACACGTGTGACGTATTTCCCTCTAAGCGCAGCTGCAAAGGCCTCACAGATGTTTTATGGCGCTGAGCATTTCCAAGACGTTATTATTTATTACGATATTGCCGTTCTGTACCTAATCTCCATTTTTACTATCCACAATAAGACAATGGTCATCATCGGTCACTATTTTTGGCATATTGCGCGCAGATGTGCGGTGCTTGCGTGAGAAAATGTCGGGTTAGTAGTAATTAAGGGAGTAGTTTGGTAATAAGTAATAACTTTAAATGTTTTATGACAACTTTGATCTGTTCCTACCTATGTGAAACGAGTATCGACGCTTACTTGTCCGGGCATTTAGTTACGCATAAAAACTGAATACTTGTTTTTCACTAAATTCATTAACTCAAGACAAAGAACTAAACACTATTATTATACTATAAACTTTGTATACAATTCTACACTTATGCTGAGTACAACGAAGACAAAAGTTATAGGTACCTGGAGTAATAATAATTACATTTAGTCATAGGTGTATAGTAGTCTACCTGACCTGGAAAACGTTCTTTTGCCATATAAAATTTGACTTAGTTGTATTACCATAAAACGGCTCTTGTGAGTTAATCTTAAAAAAGTTTTCCCCGTTTTTTTAATTTCCCACTGTTTCTTCGCTATTGGCGTGATTGAAATAAAACATTTAAGGTAAAACGCGATATATTAACTAAACTTATTTGAAAATGATTTTTAACTTCGGCCCGACGTTTCTAATATATCGCGTTTTAAACCGTTAAAGTGTTTTATTTAAATTTGTAGGTACTACCCGTAAACTATAGACATATTTATTGGCGTGATTTCCATCCCTAAGCCTTCTTTGATAGATGGTACAGCCCACCCAAAAATTTTTTTCAATAAAAGCCAGTACCTTTGAGATTGATATAAAGTTTGTTTTTACAAAGGTCACCAGCGAAAATTCATCTGACAATATGAGTGTTATATATAAATATCGTGTTATAATTATTTGTAATGATCTAAATATCTCCATTATTATTTTAATTTAAACGTCCTCTTACATATTTTCTGCAGTATTTGCTTACATTACGACCGCACAACAATTTTATGTTCTTCCTATTTAGCACATCTCTTGAACAGTGCTGTTATCTGAAGCAGGTGTCACTTACAACCGCAACTCCAGCAAATAGAAAATAAACCAAGTCGTAAAACTCTTAACAAAATAAACTTAGTACGCGTTAATCTCTTAGTAAAAAACATCTGTGCCGTTCTTAACAAGGGGATGAAAGGGTATTATCTCTGCTCTATATTAGAAGGGATTAACAGAATTGATAAGAACGTAATTAACAAAACTTATTGCGAGCGTTTCTTACTAAGACAAGCTAAAAGGATTACTTATTTATTTTAAGTTTTTAAGTAAATATGCACTACTATTATATTATAGTTAAATTATGCTCCTTTGTTATATAATAGTGATATGGCATTGCCTAACCTTGCTATAAGCGCGAGAGTTCCCGAGTTCGAATCTTCAGTAACCGACTGATAAACAGAAAGCCTCCTTTTTTTACAGCAACATTATGGTTGTGTTAAAAAGTCTGTTGCAAAGATATTTATAGAATAACACAGTATTTAAAATGAATTCCCGTGTAATCAGTAAGTATTATTAAATAGACACATGAAGTAAATAATAAGCACTTGGTTTACTTTTGGTAAATCTTTTTTCATTTTGCGTGTCATTAGATACACATATATTTTACCCGATTGTTATATTATGAGGCTGCTAGAGGCAGAGTGGTTAAATAACAAAAAAAACATGCTTTTCAATAAGAAGGAAAATAAAAATGCGCAATTAACTTAGGCGAAAATGAATATTTTATTATTTTCTGTAAGAATTATGTTAACAATTTTCGCTTACTGTTACCTTGTAGATTTTTTTAGATAAAGATAGATAGATACCTAAGTCAAGTTAACCTGCTATATTGCAGTTAGGCTACTCTTCCTCTAGCGGCCTCATATATATTAAAAAGTAGAAGTATACTAGTTAGATAATACTTCTACGTTAACATGTTTTTACTCTAAGCCTTTGTATATTTTCATTGAAAAGTCTTATCAGGGGTGTGTGAGTGTCCATAGATAACGGTTTAAGTAGTTTTATGAATGGAACTGTGATTATTGGCGGAAGCAAGTGTTCGGCAGATGTGCAACCGACGCTGAGTCATCTTGCAAAAGTGTTATGGACTGAAATTTCACTATTTATAAAGCGTTTAAAATTCCACATTATTAGGATACATTTAAGTACAAACATATATATCAAATAGGTAGGTCATTAATTCATAGAATATATAAAATAAGTATGTTTAAGTAGTCTAATGCAAGCGTAGTACAAGTATACTACTTATTTAATAAAACACTTTTTACGGTTTCAAACGCGAAATATATTTTTTTGTCCATTTTATGTGATTGTAATTTAAATAAGTAACTTTACGCGTGTAAGTACGCTTAACTAATAACTTATTGAATTTTTATTTTTTTTAATTACCTATGTTGTTAATCGTCCGTAAATTGGGAAAAAAAATACTCACATTTATAGCTATAGGTACGTTATCTAAAATGTAATATCTAATTTTAAGTTTGTTCAGCCATCCTGAATTTTGACCATGTTGTATCTCCTCATACAGTTTAAGCATTAAGTAAGTCATAGGTAATAAAATAACGGTAAAGATTTATACCGCCTCCGCGGCCGTCTGTTGTCCCGGGTTCGAATTCCGAAACGATCAAATGTTTCGGTCGAAAGAGTGGTGTTCACCCCAGACCTTCTTCATGGGTCACCTAGTAGGCGAAACGAACTTTGTGACTTTTGTAAGTCGTTTTATCTGTGTTAAATATTCATAATCATTATTTACAAACATAATCTGTAGCATCTGTAGAATAAATACATACTCTTTTGACAGTTTTAGGAGCAAGTGAAAAGCTTAACGCCATTGTACGCTGTACGCGTGTATTGAAAAGATTCTTATAAATATAGTATTGAATAATGACGCTATAAATACATCGTCGCTCGCAGTTGCTGCGGTTGGTAATTATTCCCGAAATACACCAAGCCAAATAACCCCTTTTGGACATTAGACAGCGTCGGTGGATCGATGTTTTGGGAGGCAAACCTTGCTTTTGTTAATTCTATCTCAATGGTAGAAAAAAGTAGCTATTTAAGGCTAATAATCTTGTTTATGGGGTCCAACATTATTCTAGTCAATTTGTAAGATTTCTGAAACATGTTGGACTTTCTCTGGATATTAAAAGGGTGGTAGGAATATTGAAAATTCCGTCCGGAATTCCGAACCGCAGATGGAAAAGCCGTCAAGTTCAATCGCGTTGGTTTCACTCTATTGGTTTTCCGAATATCCAAAGACAAAGAAAAGTCGACAGCGCATCTTGTTTTAAATGTCTGGGGTACTTCACCCTTCATAAAGTGAACATCGCGCTTATCTGTCCCCCTCGATCTTAAAAAGGTAAAGATATAGAAGTTGCTATGTTTACTAAACTTAGGCTCCTCACTTCATAACTTACCTATAAAAAAATGTAATCTTACTTATAAATGATACTTAGTGAAACATTGTCATACATTTCTAACAAGTAAATTTTACAGTTACCTACCTACCTGTTGTTCAGTTCATTAACACACTTCGCTTTTGATCCCGTTAAAGTTCACCCAAATATATTTAATACAAATAATAGCCCCACGAACAATAAGTCGATAGGCAGATATAATAAAACGTCTGATATATTCCAGATCCAGACAAAAGTACTTATCGCATGGCCATTATAAAATGTCTGTCATCCAATAACACTATCCAGACACCGTCGAGGCGATCTGTTAAGAGTTAAGACGATAAACATATTAAATATTTATATTATACGTTGAGGTCCGTGGGATAGACTTCTTGCTTTGATTACGTCACGATTATTTTTAGTCGAACCGGCGACCGTTTGACGAGACACATAAAAAGCAAGCAAGGGTGGTCGCGGCGCCATAGCATTGTTACCTAGGTCAAAGGTAAAAAGAAAAACTATGTTAATATACGCTTTGTTCTCTATGGCGTATTAATATTTGCTTTAAAGCCAAGTGGCCAAAATACTGGGCCTATACCCCGGCTTTGCTCAAACCATTTTTTCTTTAATTACTTGAATCATAATCGAAATTCCTAATTTAATAGACTCTATACAAATATATTGATGTTTTATACGATGGGGGTAGTTTGACCGACGCTGATAGTTGGGTTTTTTTTTTTTTTTTAAAAAAATTTTTTTGTTTTTTTTTAAATTTTTTTTTTTTTTTTTAAAAAAAAAAAATTTTTTTTTTTTTTTTTTTAAAAAAAAAATTTTGTTTTTCCCCCCCCTAAAAAAAAAGGCACAATTTTTTTGAGTATTGTATGATAGTTACTTAAATAAACAACTTAATTAAATTATAAAGAACTTAAAATAATTTTAGTTTTTAGATAACTTTATAGGTATATTTTGGTTGGTAAAATGGTTTATGCTTATAGATATATTAAATGTGTATTGCAATAACTATGGATTTTCATATTAGGTGCAAGCAATGTGTAGTCGCTGCAATTCACTGTTCATCACACAGGATGCCTTTATGCAATCAATATGGCGTCCGATATCTATTACCTACCAGAGTATATAACGTCGGTAAATGCGACCCTAAAGATGACAAGATAAGCATCAACCCGATATCGCCGTCTCTTTCTCTCGTATTCAACCCTGCAAGAGTGGGAGGTGCGCTACGCGGGAGGCGTCTGCCACGAAAACTGTTCCACTTTTTGTATCTTGTCAATGAAACGGGTAGGGGCAGGGCGCGTCTTGAGACATTCAGTCATTAGCTAGATGCGCACGCGCAACTACTTCACATGTCGCACGACCCTCGCGCCCGCGCAAACTATGAGTTACGACTGTGATAGAGTGCCAATCAAACGCGAGACCACCGAGTGTCTTGAAGAGGACGATTACTACGGTTACATGCCCGTCGAAGTTAAACGCGATACAGACATGCAAACCTTCGTACCTTCTTCGCCGACCCACCTTATGGACTTAAGCAATGGAACAGACAGACCTCTCCAGCCGTGGACTGCGAACCTCATATTTGAGGAAGAAACTGATTACCAGCAACAGTATCAACAATACGACCCGATGTACGAACAACGCCAGCGACAGTACAGAACTTTTTACTTAGAGGATTCCAACTCGCAGGACAGGGGTCCTTACTGCGAAGGGCAGGTGCCATCGGCTGATTCGTATCGCGCATCCACAGAGGAACGCAGCGAGGAAAGCGACGAACAAAGAAGAACCAAAAAAAGGTCTTCGAAGTCATCGCGTAAGAAGACGCAATCCTTCGAAGAGATGCAAATACAGAGAGTTATGGCGAATGTAAGAGAACGTCAAAGGACACAGAGTCTTAACGAAGCGTTTGCGAGTCTCCGTCAGATCATTCCGTCATTACCCAGCGATAAATTATCCAAAATACAGACACTGCAACTTGCGACACAGTATATAGAGTTCTTGTATCAGATTCTATCGAACAGCGATTCGGCTGCCAGTAGTGACACAAGCGATGCTGGTAGCGAGCACGGCAAATACCTAGCTCAAGATAAGCTAAGCTATGCGTTTTCCGTGTGGCGAATGGAGGGCGAGTGGACGAACGGACAAACGTGATCTATGAACATTATTCCAGTGCTAGTGTAGTGACGTTATAAGGTAAAAAGTTTAAAGACGGTTACGTAATATTTAAGTACAATGTGATATGTTAGGAGGTGAAGATGGGGACTTTAGGATTTAAGCTCATCGAACAGCTACATACCAAAAAAACTGTAAAATTCCAATTTTGTACATTTTGTTTATCTATTATAAAAAATATAATAAATATGATTTATACACTTATTTTTCATTTATTTTTTTGTTTTGACTAGATTAGCATTTCTTTAGATTCTAGTGTTAAAATGTAGAATTACATAAATATTGCCATAATTGATTAGATGGATACGTGATCCAACAAACTACAATACAAAAAAAGAATATTCGTTAGCTTATGGTACGGGAACGGGGGAAGTTATAAAATTTTTATTTTTAGACAAAATAAGTCTTTATTAAACATTTTAACTTAGACTAAGTTAGACGTGAAAGAATTGATTAGTCATTTTTTTATCAAGAAATGATTCTGTACAATAATTGATGTTTTATACATTTTTGTGCCACTTGTAGACTTAGCTACATAAACAATCGTCAAAGTATTAAAATGAATGCCAAAAAAGCATGTTTAACATATACAATTCATTTTTATTTAATTAAGAACAAAAGTATTTACAATAGGCACCCTACAATGTTATAAAAAGTTTTTTTGGAAACTTAGGCATTTTTTCTTTGTACATAAGTATATCTAATTTGACACATCAAACATTTTTAATTATAAATGCCGTCTTATTTTGCATTTTAATATACTCATTACCTATACACAGAAAAGTAGTAGTTATTCTTCATATCTTTTATATTATGTGAGAGTATACGGGTTCGGTCCTCGTAAAAGACACGTAGTTGAGAAATAGTCCTGAATTGCTAATACCAAAAAGTGCCCGACGGCAGAAAGCCCAAGTTACTTAAAAACGTAATTATCTATCTACAAGCTTTTTAAACATTAAACCTCCTTTTCCTAATTAATTCTTATGTGACAGCTCTTATAAAACCGCAAAGAAATCCGTAATTATTTGTAAACGCAACTTCATTTTATTTGATACACAAAACAACACATTAACAATATACAAAATGTGACAACCATTTAATTTAAAAAGAAATATATATATAATTAAAACAATACAATAGAAAAAATAATATGAATTCTTAAATCATTAAAAACAATGTTTTAGGACAGCAACACATTCTTTTCAAAAACGCGATATATTTCATTTTAATCATTTCGTTAGAATATTAATTTATCTACATATAAACAACTTAATTTTAAACTCTTAGTTTAAGCAATAAGTTCTGGTGAATTAATTTCGGGGATCTGAAAAAAAAAACTATTTTTAATATAATGGTATGATGGTAAGTGGAATAAATTCAAAGAATCAATTCTTTATTTTTTTGTTGTTGTTTCAATTTTAATGTTCCTAAAACACGTTTGACTTCGACTGGAAATGTGACGAACCACCGCCCACAGATGAAAAAGCTTTGAAGTATAATCGTGTATCGGCTTCAGTCTGTGAACTTCAGAGCATCTAAATGAAAAATAAGTTGTCAGAAGATCTTGCTTAGATGTTATATGGCTGGGGTATTTTAACTAACGTCAAGTGAATACTGTGAATACTGTAAGGTCTGTACTAGGTATATATATAATAGGTGCTATGCTCCGAGTCCCAGTTGTTGGACCAGTTAAAGGACTAATGTTAATGAATTTCTTATTTATCATCAAGTCCTCGAATGCTCGTGGCTTATGTTATTGGATCATTACTTACGTCCGCATCCTGAGATTTAACTTCTACCGACTCCGACATAAGATTTGGCTCCCACAGCGATTCCACCTCTTTGTGTTCGACCTTTGAATAGGAATTTGTAAGTAAAAGGTATCAAGATTATCCTACAACTACTATATATTATTAGTATAGATTAAAAAAGTGTGTAAGATAATATCTATACATACAAAGCTCATATACTCACAGTAACAATATTATCGATCTGTACGTCCCCCAGATGGCCGTGCGCCTGTTTGACGTGGTCCTTAAGGGCGAAGGCCCGCGCATAGCTAGCGCCACACTCGGTGCATTTGAACTTAAGGTTGTTTTGGCGCGTATGCACTTCCATATGCACCCGCACTGCGTATAGCGACGCGAACGGCCTAAATTATCAACGATCAGAATTTAAAAAGACCGGCGAACATTTAATATGTAAGATGATTTAGAGGGAGGGGGTTGGAAGGGCAATTCATTTCTTATGCAAGACTATTTACCCCCTAAATTAGGTGGGGATTAGTTAGATGTCGAATTCTTATTTCTTCTAACAAGGAGATGAAAGGGCGTCAATAGTCGTAATACCGTAAATGCCGAAAGTTACAGATTGAGTGGGTTTTGAGCCCCTGGGTTGAAATTATTATGCAGGCAAAGACTTTTTAGATAAATGATTAATATAAGCATAATTTTAAGATGAATGGATTAGGATTTAATTTGGTTCTAAGAACAAACTATCAATCTGTTTGCTTGTCTCTTAATGGATTCCTTAAGCGTGTCTCGAAACGTGGGTCGAATCCACAGCTATATGTTATTAATTTTTTTTATGGACCCTTAGATTTTACCTGCTTACAGTACGTACCTATTGCACTGTTGGCAGAGAAAAGGTTTGGTGTGAGAGTTCCTATGTCCTGCTAATTGCACTGACGTCTTGAAGGCTTTGGGGCAAAAGGGGCATTTGTATGCGCGCACTTCCGAATGAGTGAGGATGTGATGATAGTAAACACTGTGCGCTTTGAACCTGTAAAATGTCAAATATAAGCATTCAACAATACTTTTACACTTTCATAATTAAACAGGAATTTCCAAATATCCATAAAAAATACATTTACATAACACTGTTGTAAGTGATTGAATTAAAAATATATTTTAGATTATAAAATAACAACGGTAGTGCATCAGCACGCCGTGGGTTAAGTCCTGGCTCTGTCATCAATTTTGCCTAAAACAGTTATTAAAACTATAAACACTAAAATAGTCTCCCTTTTAAACCGTTTCGGTGAATTATACATACAGTATGATTATATATATCTTGATAAAAATGATTTATGATTACTTTTTAGGGCAGTGTGGACACTCGTATGGCCTTGCGCCGGTGTGCGTGCGCATATGCAGAGTGAGGCAGTATGCTACGCGGAAAGACTTGCCACAGATCTCGCACGAGTGAGGCTTTTCACCTGTTAATAGGGAAAATAAATAATTAGTAAATGAAACAGTCACACGAATATAAAAACATAGTATACATATAAATCTCAAATTAACTTAAAATTCAAAGGTTTTTTTATGGTGTAATAACCTTATTAAATAGTAGGTCTGCGCAAGCGCATTTGCCTTAATTATATTACACATTACATGACAGGTATAGGGCATACTATGTAATCGATTTTAGAATCCCGTATTTGTTGTATGTATCTGTTTGTCTTCTCTTTCTCTCTCATCTTTGGAGTTACCTGTATGAATCCTCTCATGCTTGACTTTCTCGTGTGGTCTTGCGAACTCTCTAGAACAATACACGCACTTATACGGTAGCGATCCACTCTCCTGTTTCCCTGGTACAGCCTGTCGAAATTATTTTTAATCTATATATTGTGTGGTGAAACACATTTACTATTGTTACGCCATTTTGTTATAAGCACAGCAAAATGGCGTCGTATGATGCAAATAAAGACCAAAGTTTTACCAGTACTTACCTAAAACATTATCGAATAGATAGGCTAACTATATATAAATGTTGTTAATTAGAACGACAGAGTTTTCTATCAATTCTTAATGGTTATAATTATACTTGATATCTAGTAACAATAAATATATAAGTCTAGACATGTAATTATATAGACAATTTAAAAAAAAGTTTATTTTCTTTGTTTCATCGGTGTTTACCTTATACATATTGTGTACTTTCATATGCATCTCCATGTATTCCTTTGTGGGGAACTTTTTATTGCACAAATCACATGTGAAATCGTCAGCGTTTTGATGCGACTTCTGGTGTATTTTAAGGTAGTCCAACGGTATTAACTTCTTGCAAACGCCACACAGAAATTTATCTTTCGTTGGATTTTTCTCGGATGTATCAACTGGCGGTTGTATAGGTCGCGGTCTGTAATTGAAATGATCTATTTAAAAAGTTTGTGTGTTTGAACGCGCTAATCTCACGAACGGGTTCAAATTGAAAAAATCATTGGATCGAAAAAAAAAGTTTTGTGTTGGTTAGAACATTTATCGAGGAAGGCTATAAAACATCGCACTGTAACTATTCTACGCGGAAGAAGTCGCTGACGCAGCTAGTAATATATATTTTTGCCCGAACTGACGGATTAATATTTGCTGATATAGAAAGAACTAATTTTTTTGGACATTGGATCAACAAGGTCATATTTTAAGACTTAAATATATAAAAAGACCATTCCTGTCTGTCTGTCTTTAACTATTACTTACTTAATAGGATCATGCATCCGTTTATGTAGTTTTAGAGATTTGCTCGTTCGAAATTTTGTATTACACACTTCGCATTCAAACTTACTGGTGACTATTTTTAAGGTGGGATCTGAAATACATAAGAAAATGTACAGTATACAACAAGCAAAAATTTAATACGAACATATTTTATTAATAAGCCATATAAATAAAATATGTTCGTATTATATAGACTGAAACCGAAAAATTTATTATTACTTTAATTTATAATTGCGAATTTAAATATTTGACACGAGCGGGAATTGAACCCATAGCCGAGGCAAGTGCGAAAAAAAGCAGTATATCTCATAGTAGTATCGCTTACTTGTAAAAGACTACGAATACGTTAATTAAACGCCCGGTTAGTATTCGTGGCTCCTTAGGAACACAATACGTAAGAGTCAAATCAAAAAAAAAAAAAAAACGTTAATCACCGGCAGTCTGGGGTCCGATTTGGGAGAAAAATACATTTTTTGTGGGGGCAGAGCACTTAAGTGAATAGATAAAATAGTACTAAAAAAATGCGTCTATGTGATAACAAGATTTCTTTCCCAGTTTCCTTGAAAGAAAATATTGGTATAGGTCAGTAGGTAGGCAGATAGGTAGGTCAGATTCATAGTACTATCTGCTACATTGATAATTATTGTATAAATTTACCTTGTTTCTCCTTATGTGCTTTCATATGCGCGCACAATGACTTAGCATTATCATAGGTGACACTACAAACATGGCATATGTACTTCGCTGGAATAGAACATACATGTATGAACGTATAACCAATGTCTGTTTTAATTCCGATGATATATCATCGGAATTAAAACAGACATTGGTTATACTCGGTGAAACATTTGCCAGTAAATAAAATCGATCAGTAATAATGGCACAGAAAGTTAGCCCCGTGCTTCACAGGTAGAAATGACAGTAACAATATAATTATATACAGCTAATATATTTAATTAAAATTGCCATATGTTTTAATGGGCTGTTTGGTCTCATAATAGCAATTTAGCACTAATAAGAAACGGGTCGTGGGTTGGATCCTTACAATATGTTTGTGATCAAGTTATAATTTTTCAGAAAACTGTTAAATTTCGTTTGGAAATCTGCATATTAAATGAGTGGCAATATATCGAAATTCCGCCTGGGTCGCGAACCACCATGCACAGATGAAATGCAGAGAAAATTAATTGCATTACGGTTTCAGCTTGTGGACAATCAAATATCCACATTCCATCTAGGAGAATCTTTGTTAGAGGACGTAGATAAGCGAGGATGAACCCCATAAATAATAACTAGCTGCAAGCAAATTTTGCCCTTTACATTTAAGAAATTTAAATAGATATTAGAGTACTCACAGGGATTATTCCGGACGCATGGCTGATCTTTGAACTCCGCCAAAGATGACACAAGGGATTTACAAAACATACAGCAGTATGCTTTCATTATGGTCCCATTTGGGGCAACAATTGTCTTCAGCATCACTTTGTGGTAGGGCTCCGTTATTTCTGTTATAACATAAAATTTTCGAGACACGTATAGATAAAGGATTCAGTACCAAAACGAAGATGGAATTTAGCACCAACTATGAGATTGAGGATGTTCACAAAGAGTATAATTATACAATGAATATAACAGCAGGCAGCATTCTACCAATTAGGAAAATATTAAATTTATTAATGAAAATTTACTAAAAATAGTTTAAATTAATTTATAATACGTTCTCACCAGTAACACTTTCCTTTTTGTCTTGCTTAACATATCGTCGTTTCGTTTTCTCCTGTTTTGTCTTAATATCGGCGCTAGGAACTTGCTCCGCTTGTTCTAGAATATAAAATGTTTGCAGTTACTTGTCATATTGGTTAATTTTTGTAACATCTTTTATAAACGGGCTGTATTTTATTTATAAGTTAGGCAGCTGTTGCCTGTTCTGCAACCAAGCAAATCAATTATGTTTTCTTTGGTATCGGACTGACCTTTTGGAATGCATTTAAGTATAATACTGTGGTGTAATCTATAATGGTTACCATACCTATATCTTGCACTAATTCTTCCACAATATCCCCTGTATCTGTTATCATCCGTCGTGCTATTTGCTTATCATCTATCACATCATCACTTACAGTTTGATTGTCAGCAACTGAATCTATTGGCTCCTGAAAGATATCCATTTATAACACTACCTTTATGGCGTAACGCAGGAAGGCCCCAATTATTAAATATTGAAATGCAATGCCAGTATTAAACAAATAATAAAATAAGCAACTTTATCACATGAGTTCTATTTTAAAATTGTTTCATACCTCAACAACAACATCTTGGTCATTATGATAGTTCTGTATGTGTTCAAGAACAGAAGTAAATGTCATATCACATGTGTTACAGCTGTAGACTTCAAAATTCTGTTCAGGATCACCTGTTGCTTGGCTTTCAGAATCCACAGCTGTGTTGGCATATTCATCAGCTTGCTGTTCATCAGGGCAGTCGGTATTTTCCGATTCTGTAATTGGTCAAATAGTTTCTGAAGTTGACTTTAATCCCCAACAGATGGTGTTAGATATGTTGCATGATTTACAGCTATATGAATTAATTTAAATAAGGATTTATTCCCAAAAAGTATCACATTATTAACACAACACTATAACTTGCGTATACCCTGTAGCTAACATTCAACTGTAAAAAAAACTAATATCCTTAACAGAGAAATCTGAAATATTTACATTTCTCTATTTAGAATTACTTGGGTGTTTTCTCTTAATCTATACTAATGTATTAAGCTACAAGTTTGTTTATTTATTTGAACGTGCTAATCTAGCGAAGACACAGTAAGAAATGTAAAAGAAATTGGAAAATTTATTCATCATTGTTGGTTTCTGAAGCATACGCTATGAAAAAAAAAGATACCCAAAAAATATGTATGAGAGAATGAATCTTTAGAGCAAGACATATGCATGGCAGAGATTTACTTGCAAGAAAAACAGGAAGGGATGCAACTGAAGTCGTGAGTAACAGCTTAAGTTTATAAAGATAAAGGCCTTTGTAAATTCAAATTTAGATGTCCAAAATAACAATTCTCACATATAAAGTCGCTGACACAGCTAGTGAATAATATTTATAGTAACTTTAACCTTCTATACTGAATGATACAGTTCCATCTTCATTCTGTTTAGATACCAAAGTGGCTCCACCATTTATCACAGATTCATTATTTCCTATAAGAACATATCTATTATTGCATTCCTTAACAAGCTTCAGTTCTTGAACATTTTCGCTAACTAATTCTGTGTATAAAGAATTGTATTCAGTAATTTGTTCTGGGTTGGGCTTTGCCCCATCTTCTGAAATTAAAATTAAATAACATTAAAAATATATTTTGCCCTATTCTTATCTTTTAAGTGTATTTTATTCAGTGTTCAGTATGGAAGTTTAAGATTTTTTATTTACATTAGCAAATAGAGTAATACCATCATCGCTAGCTTCCAACTCATATCCTAATTGTTGTTCAGCTTGGTTATGACTTTCATCAACTAAAATAACTGGATGTGCACAACTACTTTTCAAATGTAGTAAGAGATCGTCGATAGACGAAATACCGGCCTTGCATATTGGACAAGACAGATTATTTGTTAAACTAGTAAGATGATCAAGAAGTAGTTCCTTAGAACTAAATGTGTTGCAACAACAAAGGGGACAGGAAAACATTGCTGGGAGGATGCTTAATCAGTTTCATTCCAAGAGCATTTTGTAAACATTGAGTTGATATTTTGACATCTACGATGTTTATGCGGTAATGAAGATCTCAACGTGAAACTTTTTTAAGAACTTCACACTAATAAATTAATACAATTCGTACAAAATTCACGGCTTCACACTTCACGCCATATCATTACTCACAGATGTGGTGAGGGAGGGTACAAAATTAGCATAGATAATCATAGTTCATAGTTGTTTTAAAGATTTTAACGTTTGACAAAATTGGACTTTTCTCAAAACTCGAGATATATGTTTGCCATTTTTGCCAGTCACAATATATATACGTATGACATCTTCAACTTCATGATTTGCATTCTTTCTTGGTTTTAAATTGACATTGACAGCATCTGTACCTGTTATACAAGTACCAGCTGATTCAAATAAGTACTCGGCAGCTGAAACGAGGGAAATATATTTTTTTAAGTTTATCATTTATTTACGAAATAATTAGTAGTTGATATATAAGAACAAGTTTTCTATTATAAAGTTTAAAATAATGACAGACGTGTCATTATCAATAAAAAATAAAGTGTTTAATGTTAGCAAAGCTACATTATGTGAATACAGTGATTATTTTAAGGCGATGTTTAGTGGGAACTATGTAGAAAATCAACTAGAAAAAATTATTGTTGATGTAAGTTCTTCATTGTTTCGAGTACACACGACGAGAACATGAGATCTTCATTATAATTAATTTATCTTCTGTTTTAGACATTAGATCCAGATACTATGGAAATTATATTGAAATACATGAAAATAGGTCTAATAGATCTTTCAGAATATTCTTTAAACACCATTGGGGATATAGCAGTTGCTGCAAGCTTTTTACAAGTCACAGAGCTAATAAAGCAGATTGAATATACCCTAGATCTTCAACTCTCAGTGTCTAATTGGATTGAAATTATGTCAATAGCTGAGCAGTGCGCATACAATAATTTAGAAAAAATAGCTATTATGCATGGCCTTTTATCATTTAAAGATTTAAAGCCCAACTATATTCCAACAATACATATGCTTGCCTGGTATCTGTCACACCCATTTCTAGACTCAGAGAGTGAGGCAGATATATTTAAATTTGGGTACCAATGGCTATTGCATCATGAGACAGGTGCTGATGCTTTGCTAGTAATTCTTGGGTGTTTAGATCTCAGAAGAATCACTATACTGGACATAAAAGAAATACAGGATTTCATGAAGGACTTTGAAAATAGCTTAGCAGCTAAAGTCATTGACTGTTTAGAGTATTTAATTGATAATAAATTAGAAATATCATGTGAAAGCTTACATAATCATAAAACTGCAATTTGTGAAACATTTACAGAGAGGGTGTACAATGAAATTTTTAATGCAATTAAAAGTGGCATTGCCCGGAAATTGACTTACACACCAATAGTACCACTTTGGATTTTAAAGGGCTCGAAGCCAGAGTTTTTACCACATTATTTGTACTCTTTTACACCTGAAAATAAATTTCAACAGTGGCTGGAAGTAGCTGAGAAAAACTTATGGGGCTGGAGTATAGTTTCTTGGGGGCCAAGCAAAATAGTACTTGTCGGTGGGGAGCATGGACGGGGTACTGGGTTGTTTATGAGAGATATTAAAGTCTATGATACATTAAGAAAAGAATGGATACAGCATGGTGTACTGCTTCCACATCAACGACATTCTGGGTGTGTGGTTGTTGGTGATGATCTGTACATTATTGGAGGTGTGGGTGTGTTTAGGTCAGTATCTCAATTTTAAGATTTTTTTAATGATAAAAATAAGAGGGACAGACAAGCACAGGGTTCACTCGATGGTAGGTTTATACAACATCTAAACAAGACATCTAACATTATGTATTATTATTTATTTATTTGCAGCAATTAAAACGGCAATAGCCAGTTACATTAATTGGAGACACACATATTTAAACAATAACAATTTAAAATAGGTTACATTAGGAGATAATTTCAAAGGCAGACAATTCTTTTAGTATTGATGACCAATAATCTGCGAAGAGGTCACATTTGGGTCTTAACTTGAGGAGAGCGTTGAGTGACATCAAAATTCGCGATATCGGCGAAAACTCGAGAATTTTGGGATCCTAGCGCGGCCATAGTTGTCCGGGACAAACAGTCGACAAAAACCTTCCCTCAAATAAGAATCGTCGATTTGGTTTCGAAACAACTTACAGGCTATAGTTAATTGCCCACGAGATCTGCGGCTTTCCAGAGAATTAAAACCAAGGTGTCCTAATGAAAACAAAGTCGGGTAGAAATAGGGATAAAAACCGTATTGGTGTTTGAAAAGGAATCGCAGGAAGACTTTTTGGATTTTATCGAGCATTAGTATATATTTTTTCTCATAAGGGTTCCCCACGGACGAACTCGATTCAATATTGCTGCGGACAAGAGACATATAGCATGCCTATTGCGAAAGTCGCGAACATTGTGCAGAACAAATCCAAGGCGTCGAAATGATTCCTTGGTTAGTTCGACTATATGATCGTGAAACGTTAACTTGCAATCAAATGTAACGCCCAGATCGTTTATAAGGGATTTCCTTGTTATCGGTGAACCATTAATTTGATATTAGTATATATATGGATGAAGTCTTTGAACGAAAGTCATCGCTTAACATTTTGATGAGTTAAAAATTAGCTTATTATCTTGACTTATTATGTAGAATCACGACGAACAGACAGACAAACAAAAATTGATTGAATCTAAATAGCTTCTAAAATTTTAAAGAGAATGAAGTATATTTTATTTATTTATTTTATTTTTATGATGCAATGTTGATCTATTTTGTAATAAGTATTAAAAACATATTGTTAAAATATATATATGTACCTTTTCAGGGTAGTTCGAGACACAGCAATTATATATAACTTGAAAGAGAGATCATTCAGGAAAATTGCAAAGTTTCCTGATGCAATGCAAAATCCAGCCACATGTTTGCACAATGATGCGGTATACGCTGCAGGACATAAAAATATTTATAAATATGAAGACCAGGGAGATGGAAAAGATCTCTGGGAGACAGTAGTAAGCACAGAAATTAGAATGAGTTGCATGAGATCCTTTAGAAAATACATATATTGTATACAGAGTTATTTCAGCAATCTATACAGATTTAGACCTGGTATAGATAAGAAATTGGAATTAATTACTTATTTTTCCAGTCCTCCCTCAACACTGTGCAATATGCGTAAGTTATCTGTGCACTTATTTTAATTTACATTTATAATATCATTACCTGTCACTGTACTGTCTGATAGTAACCTTGCTAGTGTTTTCATAAACCACACACAATTGTTAACACTATAATCATACCATACTTATAATTATTTCATACTATAGGTTGCAATTAGTTGAAGTCAAACCCTTGATTTGTCAAAATATCAACGAAACATTAGCACATACTGAATACTTTGTCGTTAGTTTTTAAACATTGTATGCTCTATAATATGTTTTGTATTTAGATCTCATTTAATTATATTTCTGTACATGAATAAATAAAAATCTATTGTTTGATGGCACGCACAAATGGTCTGAAAGTTTTAGTTGCGGACTATCAGCCTTCGTGCCTCTTACGTAATCAAGTTAAAAAATTATCGCCAGCGTTCCCCATTATAAAATGAATTATGTACATGAAAGTCCCTTCACAATGATCCAGTTTGTTATTTCCAATAGCATATATACAATACTAGCTGTGTCAGCGACTTCGACCGCGTTGAATATTTATTTTGGGCATCCAAATTTGCTTTTGCAAACCTCTACATCTTTATAAATTTAACCTGCCCATGACATCGGTCGCGTCCCTTCGCTCGCGACTCGTTGTTTTTGTAAGTAGATCTTAAAAGATAGACAGTGTCGCGGACATGTTTTTCAGATCGTTTAAAGAGGAAATATTATTTCATACATATTTTTTGGGTGTCTTGAACCGTTTTCGCATCGTATGCATCTGAAACCTGAAACAGAGATGAAAATTTTTCCTCGTTTTGTTCACATTGCCCGCGGTATCTTAGCGCCAAGCCAGATCTTTTATAGACTTATTGCCTTCCTCGATAAATGCTCTAACCAAAACAAAAAAAAATCAATTCGAACCCGTAGTTCCTAAGATTAGCGCGTTCAAACAAACAAACTCTTCAGCTTTATATATTAGTATATATTATTATAAATATTTTAGTCTTTAAAAATGGCTGGACAGATTATAATAATATTTGTGACAATTATATTCGTATGCTAGATAGTTTCATTTTCTTAAAGAATACTTCATAATATTATGAGGCTGCTAGGAGCAGAGTAGCCTAACTGCAATTTTATGACTTGAGTTATTTATATTTTGATAGTCTAAAAATGTTAATCTACAACAGCACATAACCGAAAATTGTTATTATAATTTTTACGCAAATAATAGTACAAATTCATTTTCGCCTAAGTTAATTGCGCACTTTTATTGTCATCCTTATTGAAAATCATGTTGTTTGTTATTAGACCACTTTGCCTCTATCGCCTTATATATAAGTACACATCGTTGCTTTCTTTTTCAGGCGACAATCTTCTAGCATTTACCAGAACACTATCAGATGTAACATCAGTAGAAGAATTCAGAGGCGAAACTAATGACGAAAAGCCCAAAGTGATATATTCTGAGGCCGACACGATACGGGTAAATGAAGTATCGGGATCGTGTGTAATAATCTCAGAAGCGCCACCTACCGACTGGAAACTGTCGGCCTATCTTAAAAGTTATGTACAACATTATACTAATTGAATCATAACTTTAATATTTTGCACATGATAGCACTGTAGAAGTTAAAAATCGATTACACTTATATTTTATTTTTTTTACAACACGATAAGATATTAAATCTAATTGCGCGAGAAGTACATATGAGGCCACCAGAACCAGAGTGACCCAAATGCAAAAATCAAATATGTGAATAACATACTAAGTTAGTTTTGAGAAAAAGATACATCCAAATATCTTCATAAATTTATAATAGACAAAAGTTTTTATTTTAGGAAGGATGCTTGAAAACTTAAGATTCTATGTGCATTTATTAAAATACATTAATTACAGGTATTTTCTGTTTTTTTTCACTTGGGCCACTATGGCATTTGTCTTTTATACTTTTATTTATTTTTTACTTTTATACCACTGACAGCATTGAAATATATTGAAATAAATAGAATTACAAAGTTGTATTTTTTTATTATTTAAAACCATATTTAAACATTTGCTTAGCCTTAACATAAAATTACTAAACATCATGCATCATACATAAATTACTAAACATGAGTTAAAACTATTACAACAGCCTCTGAATTAAAATTATTATAAATTAATAACATTAAGACTGGTTTATAATGGCAATTGACATAATAATAGTGTATACACTTGCAAACACCATTATTATAAATAAAATATTAAAAAATCAACCAAAAGTAAATACTTAAACTATTCAAATGTAGAGTCACTTAAGTCACCATCCAGATTATTTTCCTCATTATTGGAGTCTCTCAGTGCATGGTAAAAAGGGTGATATGCAGGTGGTGCATGCTCTAAAAGGCATAGAGGGTCCTTCTTTTTTTCAGTATTGTTTTTTTTTCCATTTGGGTATAAAACCTCAAGCTCAAAATTGGAAGGGTCTCTTGAAGTTCTTTTGGAGAAAATGACCTCAGTAAAAAGAGCATCTTGGTTGTTGGAGTATTTATAATACATAGACAATGGATGCATTTTATTATAAAGTATCCATTGAATCTTCAACCATTCCACTTTACTGCGCTCAACACTAAGTTTTCTATTAGTAATATTAGATTCTAAACACTTAGTCGACTTAAAATCATCTTTTTGCATTGTTACAATCTTAAAAGGATTTTTTTTTTTGATGCCCGAATAACATCATGCCAATGTTCTGGTATATAAATATTTGGAAAGAATTTTTTTTGTTTTTCAACTAAACCAAATGCTGTATCACATGATGAGTAGGAATGTCCACTAACTGTGAACTTATGATCAATGCTTTCCACTGTATAATGTGGACTTGAGACAACATACATACATAAAAGTGCCATTTTAATATTGCGATTTTGACCTCCGCACTGGTCAGAATACATTATTAGATGCTTTGTATGCACATTTTTTTTTGTATATTTTAGGAGGCAAGAGAATATCTCTTGAGGTCCTCTTGAAGCTATAGATTCATCCCATACATACATGAAAACATCATCATTACCTGCATTATGCATGCCTGAGCAATATGTCCACAACTGACGTTTATAATAACAAATGCCAGTTGAGATCACAGGAGTTGGAAGAGTTTTCATCAAATCGAAGATAATCACAGTAGTATCGCTGTTCTCTTTGGCATATAAAGTGTCTAATTTTAAATTTTCCACTGCAAATTCCGCTTTTCCAAGATGAAGTTCTTTTGCTATTGTAAGTTCATTAAAAAAAAAAAAAAAAAAAAAAAAAAAAAAAAAAAAAAAAAAAAAAAAAAAAAAAAAAAAAAAAACCCCCCCCCCCAGGGGGGGGGGACCCGCCCCCCGCCGGGGGGGGAAAAAAAAAAGGGGGGGGGGGGGCAAAAAAAAAAAAAAAAAAAAAACCCCCCCCCCCCCCCCCCCCCCGGGGGGGGGGGGGGGGGGGGGGCGCCCCCCCGCCCCCAAAAGAAAAACAAGGGGAAAAAAAAAAAAAAAAAAAAAATGGGGTTTAAAAACCGGAAAGGGTTTTTTTTAAATTGGTTTCTCCCCGCGGAAACTAAAGACAGTATTTTATTGTAAGTTCATGTTTCTTTAAGGTTTCATTACTGTCACAAGCATCTATTTTTATTTTAAAACTGTCGCAGCGCTTACATGAATCTGTATAATAATAAAAAAATAATAGGTACTGTTTAGTCTGACTTTTATGCCTCGTATAGTGTAAATCATACTTTGGAAATGTGTTAATAAAATCTTGGATTTCAGTTATTTTCACTTCAAGGGTTTTATTTTTCGGAATATGTTTGCCTCTCATGTCAATGGGAGGTGTATCACCAAGTATTTTATTCTTAAGAACTCGAGTCAACCGTCCATCTGATACTTGAAAGATTTCTTTAAAAAAAGATTTACACACACAAATTTCCTTACCATTAACAGGAATATGGTATAACCTGCTAAAGGTTTTAGGCTTCTTAGGCCTGGTATTATCTGTTGTAGTACAGTTTCTTGCCTTAGTTACAACAGTTATCAGTGAATATAAATATGAGCTTTGTAAGTCAAAATTTGACAGAGCATAATAGCTAGAAAATAAATGTCTACGCCTTTCAGGATCAACTTTATCATGGCATTTTCCTGAACAGGGACATTGATACTCAATGTTTATTTTCTTAGCTGGAATCAGGACACCTTTAGTATTAGTATATTGCTCACCCTTTGCACGTTTAATTTTTCTTACGTTTTTTTTCCTAGTATTTTATTTTCGCATATGTTTCCTTATTTAGTTGCCTAGTAAAGTTGCAACATTTTCATCAGCCGAACCATCAAGGATGTGTTGCAAATTTGGTGACGTGCTTCCACTACGGTGTTCTGGAACATATTCGGAACCGGAATCTTCATAGGGTTCGATCGGGTTTGACCCAAGTATATCTGCAAAATCATGTAGCTGTTATGACAATCTTTTTGATGACATAGGTATTTTAACCGGATACCTACTCAATAAAACATACGTACCCCGTAGATTTCGTTCAATTCCATCTGTCTGAGTTACTTCATCACTTGTTGTTTGTGTTTCTATCTGAATATCTGTAAACAATGTATTGTTTATTAGTGAAACGTACAGATCAATCAACCAAAAATACTTACTAACTAAACCTTACCTTGAACGATATTTGCAGTACATTCCGCACTTTCTTCTTCACTCATTGTTTTTAAGAAATATTTTTAAAGTTGTTGATATTCAAACAAACTTGTTTTTTGCAATATTTTCAAGTAGGTACGTTTTGAGCGCCGAAAATAAGTTGACTTGACAAGCATCTGACATTCATGACATTTTACTAGAAACCAAGTGCCAAAGTGGCCCCAGATCACATGAGCCACAAACTAAACAAAAAAAAGTTATGGCACCGGCCCAAGTTATTTGAGCCAATTAGAGTTTTATTTTATGAGAAAATAATATTATGCCAAAACTTTCTAAGTGATGCAACTTTTTATAGAACAATAATTATGGTCTCCCCGTGACCACGGCTGCTGCAAAGCATCCGAAACGTCGGGCCGAAGTTAAAAATCATTTCCAAATAAGTTTAACTAATATATCGCGTTTTAAACCGTTAAAGTGTTTTATTTAAATGTGTACTACTCGCGTAAACTATAGACAGTATTCAATATTTATGGGTCATTCTTTTTGAAAATATAGCGTTTTCAACATACAATTTCGCTATAAACGTTGATATCGAAAAAATGTCACTTGGGCCAGTCTGGTTCTGGTGGCCTCAATTATACGTTTTATTAGAGATTTTAGTCATAAAAGCATAGTATGTATTTCTTAAATATTTATTCATTTAATAATCTTGTATTACTTTTTAAATTCAATTTAAAAATATTTCAAACAAAATAGAAATTCATTATTGAAGTTTTAATGATACGATCAATATTATTTATATAATGTCAAACGTCAGAATAGTGACAATTGTCAATAAAACATCCTTTAACAATAAAGAAAATCGTCGCCATTTTTTATTTATACCTGTTCAGTGTAAATTTTAATAATCTTGTGCCAATATAGAACCTTATTTCTATATTTTGTATGAATTCAAACAGTAACAACTTCTTCTTAAGTAAAATCCTATACTCATTTTACATTGACAATCAATTTAACGTTTAAGTACTATAGTTTTTTACAGTTGTTTTATTTGTGCAGTTTGTGTTATTTATTGCGCGGGTAAATTGAATTTACCGAAATGTTGGGCAAAAGGATGCACCATAACAGTAAAGGGAGATTAGCTGCCAAGGGTCATGATAACGGTAAACCAGCGAGTCCTGGATTATCTCCTTACAATAAACCAGCTAAATTACCAGGTTCAATATCTGCTGGCAAGACTAGGGCGGAAATGTGTCCTATCCCGTACATACGACAACAAGATAATCCTGTGTCTTTACCTAGACTCACTGCTATTGCAGCAAGATCTGCTGATGAACCTATTGGCATGGATGAATTAGATGCATTGCAACTGGAGCTTGAGACATTGCTTTGCAATACAGCACTTCGTATAAGATATTTTCAGGGCGAAATTGAAAGTATTGATACAAATGAATCAAAAAGAGAGAAAAAGGTCAAAGCAGCAGGCAAACAGTTACAATATCCTGGCAAAAGAAAGTTTCCAGATGACAAAATAGTAAAATCCAAAGAGTATACTAAGTTATCCAACCAACCCAAATTACCTAAGTTTAAAAATTACAGCAACCCTTCATCTGGTGCATCACATGCTTATTCAAACGATCAGGCTCTGAACTCTGACAATTCTGTAAAGTTAGAACTCTCTCAAATGCAGGTTACAACAAAAAATAATATCCCTTATAAATTTTGGAATTCAGTTGATCCTTATTGTGCACCTGTGACAATGGATGACATAAAGTTTCTGGATTCACTTCTAGCACAGAGTAGCAATACAACTTTACCACCCATACCACCTCTTGGAAGACATTACTCTGAAGTGTGGGCTGATGAGCATATTTCAGAAGACCAAAATGCTTCTAACCCTAACAAAAAAACAGGTGGTACTGCAGATACAACAAACATTAAGAAAAAGCTTGAGAAATCATCAGAAAATATGATTACCGGCCCACTTACACAAAGATTGGTATCAGCCTTGATGGAGGAAAATGTCATGCCATATGAAATACCTGATATAAAAAGTAAGAATTATGCTGCTACAAAAAATAGTTACAAAAACTCCTTAACCCTAGAAAAATGTTTAAGGAAAGAGTTAGTTGAACAGGGCATCCTAGACCCTGAAGACCTACCACCACTTACCAATCCAGCTGATGATGAAATTTTAGCTGAAATAAAAAAGTGTCAAACTGAACTAACGGCTGTTCGCAAGGAAAACTGTAGGAATTTGAAAAACCTGATTGGTTTATGTAAACAAGAAATGATAAGGCTTAACTTGAAGAAGCAATTGGATCAAGTTGATTTAGAATGTATTGATATTTATAAGAAAATGGTAGCTGCTAAACAAAAGAAGCGACCTATTACCAAAAAAGAGAAGGAAGATGCTTGGCGAGCAATTAATGAACAGATAAGACTTAACAAAGAAATCAATGCTTTGCCACTGACTGGACCTAACTCCAGCTAATTTCGTTTAACTATTTCCAATTATGTGAATTATGTTTTTTCTGGAAAGTACTGCGTAAATGACATATTATCAATAACTTGGTATTATTAGTTTTCATTATTGGTTAAGATTTACATAAATAAATTTATTTACTTGTAGATCTTTTTTTTCTGTCCTGCCATCTCCCTAAATGTTCAACTGCATATTACAAAGCTTCAACGGAGTTTCAAATCCATATGGTGGTAGTAAATTAAATTATAAATGGATCTATTATTCAAGTGTAACACATAAATACCAAGTTTTAGTAATAGTTGACAGGTGTTACACGTCTAAAATATGTTTATTAAAAATTAAATAACCCAGCTTATAGCATCTAAACAAGATTTCGACCTATTTAGATATTCTAGACTGAAACCGAAACATGATTAAACTTCATGGCTCCTTCGTCTGTGGACAGTGGTTCGTGACCTGGATGAAATATTGATATTTCTACCTCCCATATAATATACAGATTGCCAGACAAAGTCCAATATTTCAGACAAATTATACATTGATTAGAAAAATGTTGAAACCAGTGGGGGATTGAACACACAATCCGTTCATTATTGGCCATACAATGCATAAAACCATTACACCAACATGCCCATTAAATTTTCAGATCATCTATATAAATTCAATGCCAGTTTATTAAGTATTGAAAATAGTCATAATATTGTCTAGCCCTGAAGACTGGATTCAAGATACAAACTTTGCACATGCTTTTAAAATTTCACGACATGGATAAAATTTATGAAAGATATCTTTGTAGAATTTGATAGGTAAGGTAAAGTAAAATAAATTTTAACAAATAGGTAACTGAATTTAAACAAATTTACTTCGCACCAAGTAAATAAATATATGAAAGCAATTACAAAACAATATAATTTATAATAAGAATTACTCTGTAGGAAGGATTTTTAATTTGCAACTATTTGAAGGCGCTTATTAAATCATACAAGTTTTATTTATTTTTAGATTTTGAATTTGATCTTTTTAGTTTAAAACAATGTTTAGAAATTAATTGCTTATTGTGTCACGTGTGCAAATTGCAATCTGTGGTGTAAATTTACCACAGCTGTATACAATTGAGAACTGACATATTATGACTTAACATTATAAATATTGTCTATTATTTAAAATGTTCAAATCATAACGAATTTTTACGAAGTGTGAAGAATTTGGTAACTATAAGCTTATAATTTATTTCAATGTATTTACGTTCTGACTAAGATTACATAAAATCGTGTGAGGACTATAAGGGTAAATCATGGAGGGAATTACCCCAAACAAACTACAAAAGTTAATGCGATTGGCAGAAGATGCTTCTTACAATGGACCTAGATTAAATCTAAACGAAGATTTCGTTAATAGGTAGGCGTGAGTTTCATATTCAGTTGGTTTTATTGAAATTTATTGAAAAGTATAATTAGATATTATCTTAAAGCATTTATAATTAATTTATAGAAGCATTGCTACAAACCATTCTCCATATGGGGAGTCATCTTCCGGAATTCTGGATTTGGAACGTCTTCACGGTAAACATAATTTTGTTAACGTTAATATCTGGTTCGCTATTTTCAAGCTTTTTTTTCCTTTTACTGAGAGTTGTTAATAATTCACCTATAACAATATGGTTATTGCTGGAATGGAAGGAATTAAGTCTTGATCCATGTATCATCATGGGACCTAGGACTTCGCTTTCGTGATACATTTCTTTAACTGCTGCATAATTTTAATGCTATTTTTTGTATATCACTGTATGTTACTTTTCATTTTACAGGCTTTGGAGATTCCAGCATTCTTTCAGTAAGTATAATTTTTACTGTCAACAGTTTTTGTCATGGCCAGATGTTGTTTACATCGTATATACCAATATAAGGTCATGATAAGCCATGAAATGATTTTTAAAATCATTTATATTACTTGGTACACATATGGTATGAATATAAACAATTCAAAAAGTGTTTTTTAATATATGTATATGCTTATCTTTTTTTCATAAAAACTTTAAGATGTTACTAACATATTTTTTTTATCAGTACAGTCTTTGTAATATTTTTCTGAACTTTGTAATATAGTAAAAGTAACTTTTATTTTGTCAGACACCATTCAACCCAGGAGAAATGACCGGTCGCTCAACTGAAGCAGATTCAAATCAAGCTAGACTTGGGATACCTGGATATGAGAGCTATGGCCGACATTCAGTTGCTTCAGAAAGCTTGACGAGCCACATGGAGAAACAGACTCAAGAAGTTTCAGAAGTTATAAGGCATTCTATTGCATATAGTTTTTCATCTAAATATAATGTAAGTAAGATTAAAAACTTATTTGAATTGTTTTTAAATAATATGTGTTAGATTATTCTTTTAGTTAATTTTTTAGATATAGTTAAGTAAGTACTTACTTTTGGGGGTATTAACATAATAAATAGACCTTGTACTTAAAACTAAGACTATATTGTGTTTGTTAGGCTTAAACACATAACAGCATAGCATACCTATATAAAATATGGATTGTTTTTTCTCCAATTATTCAATTAAGTGATTTCTATCATGTGTCTCTATCCTCTTTTGTTACAAAAAGAGGGATTTAAATTTTCTTGCCTAGTAAAAGATCAGTTTTTTATATTCTGTGAAATCCTAACAATTCTCTGGTTCCCTTGTGAAAACGAAATACACCATTCAAAATTGAACTTCAGAGGCAGTCTGAAGGGCTATTTATATCTCGGTGTTCAACTATGATGGCTGAAAATATTTACAGGTAGATTTAACTGCAGAGGAGGACAATTTTATAAAAGAAAAGTTCAATGCGCCCATTGACGACACTTTAGCTTCTGAAATGATGAAAGATTCACCCCAAAACATAGTAAGCCTTCAGGAAAGCAAGTAAGTTATCATTAAATGTGTATTTGAAATTATATTTCTTCCATTCTTTAAAAATTTCTGCTCTGCATGTGTCAGAATCATGCTTACGATTCGTTCTGGCCATCTGCAATCCATACTGCCGAAACAGGTTAGCCTCTACTTATGACGAAATTACGATTGTTCCTCTTGCTATAAAAATAGGCATGAATAGTATTTTTTGGTGCACAGTACACAACTTTTATCATACACTTGCTTACTTCTTGCTTCTCTGTATATACATACTATGATTGTTTTTTCAGTGCCAGTGTACTAAACATGTCTGAAAGGGAGGTATACTTCAAACAAAAGTGCCCAAACGTCTCCACAATTCTGGGTAATGCGGATAGTCCAGACAGATATATGTATCCTAGCATTACAGAAGGTGATTAATATGATAAAAGCCCTTTCCTAAATGATTGTTCGCGGGAACTAGATGCATTGGGGTATCACATTTTTTTTTGCATGCGACCTCCTCAGCTTATATAATACCCGTTACTCAAAGTCGACAACCCAGAGCTAACTAACTAAAGTATAGCCTATACAAATTTTTAAGCCTTAAAGATTTTTGAATTTTGCAATATGTTACTTTATTTATTATGTCTGTAGCTATAAAAATATTTTACATTGCTAATATCACATATTTTTTGTATGGTATTAAAAATCTTTTAATGCCATACATACGCCCGTCCTGTACAGCCATCACATAGGGTCTAATGATAAAAAAAGAAATAAAAACTTAATAATATGTAATTTGCATTTGAAGCCACTAAAAATGTTTTTTTTTTGGGTTTTACATTTTATTTTATTCTATTTATATTATATTAGCAAAATAAATTATACCAAAAAACAGTATGTACAGTGTTTCCTGTGTAGCAAGGTACATTTCTTACAAAAGTTTATATATTTCAGTGTCTTCACACAATGTATTTGATATAACACCAAAGAAAGAAAACAATACATACACCGTGGATCAAAATCTAGATAGCATTCCTGTTAGACAACCAAAACGATTGAATACAGCTAAGACTAAGCCAAGCGAAGTATCTCGCTATCAAGCAGAGGTGTCTGGAATGAGTGAAATGGGTTGTTATTTTAAGAATGGGCCGGATCCAAATTATCAAATAAACCCGATAAAACCACTATCCACACAAAAGAAACCGACTAAACCAGCAGATTTATTATTGAGAAACTTGCAAACATCTTACAGATACATACCCGAGGAGACTGAAACGTCTTTAGAAAACTCTTTGAGTATTTCTAAAATTGCTGATTTATTAAGTAAGTTTTATATAAATTGTATAACGCTTTTATGGCAATTTTGTAAAGCCACTTGGGTTTTCCCTTTAGACCATTGTAATTGGGAAACGGTTCTGCATATTCATTATTCCACCACTTCTCATTTATGAGGGCCAAAGAGTTCGAAAGCCTAGGTGTTAGCTAAGTACATATCACATTACTTGTTACACATATTTGTTTGTTTTAGTTGATGATTTTAGTTTGTAAACTTGTTTCTGATTGTAGACTTGAAATTAACTAAAATAGGATAAAGCTACTGATTATATAAACGTATTAATGCACCTTATGACAAAGCCAGAGGCAAAAGATAACATTTTATACATTGCTGTTTCAGATCGTCAGTCACTAGTGAGTGTATCAGATATGCTTCTTTTAAATAATCAAGTTAAATCAAACAATAAGAAGCAACCTCTAACAGAGCGACAATTGAACACACTCGATAATAAACATAATGAAGAGGAAGTTTATGTCACAAAATTAAAAGACGCTAGGAAAATAAACACAGCCAGTTCGACAGCCACACTCAGTACGGTGGTATCAGTAGACGCTCTTAAAATGAATGAGCAAAATATACCAGAAGTTATAGTGACAAAGGACTCCTTCAATACAAATTTGGATCAGGACTTACTCAAAACACCGTCAATCGTTAGATCAAAATCGCCGTCGAGTAAAAGTCAATCTACCCCCACAACAGTACAGGAGAATAAAAGTTTCAAATCTTCTACCAGTCCAATGCACATGAGCAAGGGAAGTAAGTAGTTCTGTGTTTTATGTAAACATAATTTCCCTTAATTAAAACTTATAAGCTTGTAGACAAGATTAGGAAATGACAACAGAACATTCATACTTTTAGCACTGTATTTGGGCATTATAATAGGAAATGCTTTATATCATTTCCATTTTTCTACTGTAGTACAACTACAATAATATGTAACAGCGCCTTTTTTCGTTAAATAAGAAAATGCGACTTAGAAGCATTATTAAACACAAATTTAGTTATGTAATCTGACCATTGCGGTTGTGACGAGTTGTGAGTCGGAGTTGTTTATTATGCCATTTGCTTTCCCAATTCTCCATATAAAGTATGTATTTAGTAATTTTTTTGATCGCTATGGCATACGAGATTTTGGAAACATTGTCTCTTTGAAGCATTATGTAAACACATTATATATGTACATACATGTATTATTATTATTTAATACTGGGGAGACTGATGGTATCCAGGTACATATAACAATTTATTTTTTTCCATTATAGATTTTTCAAATTGATTTATACTTTATCACTTTTGCTAGAGTCTAGGTTGTAAACAAGTAGTTATTTACAGGCGAGGCTAATGCATCAAACATCCCCTCCCCAAATGTCGTGTATAAAGAATTAGACAAGTCTGTAGATTGGCGCGAAGTGTTAGAGCAGAAACGATATAACGAAGAGCGCTTAGCCAAAGGTTTGTGGGCTTTACTTGCATGGGCCACTAACTAAACTAACTATTCTTTCTGCTAACTTTGCTAAGCTGGGATTTTGCCATGTTTAGATTATTTTTTTTTAGGTTTATTTTCTTTTTTTTCTTTCAGCTCAATGGGTTGATGTTATTGCTGCACCGGCTAAGGGCTTTGTTGGTGAGTAATACATTAACTTATATTTAAATGTATGCATCATAATAGACACACATTAAAAAGTGCAAAACCACTATTGCTACTTATAATTTTAGCTATTACAAGTAGCTAAATCTTGCATTTAGTTAATATCAATAATTTACAGACTTTGGTGTTTCACCTATAATAATGTAATTCTCACACACGAAAAATACTGTTTTAAATACTGCCTGTAGTTTACGCGAGTAGTACACATTTAAATAAAACACTTTAACGGTTTGAAACGGGATATATTAGTTAAACTTAAATGAAAATGATTTTTAACTTCGGCCTGACGTTTCGGATTCTTTGCAGCAGCCATGGTCACGGGGAGGCAATTTAAATACTGTTTTATCATTATCTGGTCCTTGTATTATATAAAAGTGTTCAAAATTTAACAACTAGGTTATTTGCAGGTGTCAGCACGCCCATAACTATAAACATAACATCACGCCTAAACAGCTGGCTAACAGCTAAAATTGATTTCGACACATCAAGTGATCTTAACATTGAATCACCCCGGCAGCCCTTCCTCGTCTCCCCTGGCAAAGAAGAAAAATTTATATTCAATGTAACTTCAAATACAGAGATAAAAGAAGAGCTTCTCTTCTCTATTAGCCTGAAAGACGCCTCCATCGATGACACTCAGACACAAAAGCACTCAGTTTTGCTGGAAATTCTAATGCCGTCTATACAAGCAGTGTCTACTGAGGGAGTTAATATAGTGTCTTTTCCAACGATACTAGAAAAGTCATTTATAACAAAGTATTTTATATTAGTGAGTGATTGTCCGGTTGATTTACAATTGGAGCTGTGTATAGTGACGGGTGACAGCTTTTTCATAATCAGGAATGTGCAAGAGATCAAGAAGAGTGATATTAGTAAGGCTTTGATGGAACCGCCAACGGAACACGGCAAAGTCATGGGTAGTAGACAGATGTGCCGGCTTAGCCAGGGAATGGCTATTAAAGTTATCGTTATGTTCAAAGCACCGCAGCTCAGCGATTCGGATAGAAGTAAGTTAAATTTCGCGTTTCCCTCCCCCCACTTTTAAAGCAAGTGGTCTAACATTTAAAATATTGTCTTGGAGGGAGTGAACAATTCGCTTCGAATTTATAATATTATTTCGGTGTTTCATGTTAAGGATAAATGTGGGTTCCATAATTTAATAAGTAATTTTTTTTGCAGAAAATAAGAAATCGACAGTCAACGGCGTATTAAATGTCAACTTAATGGGTGTGAACACAGTTTTGAAGAAAGTCGATCTAATTGGAAATATTGGCTTTGCCCAACTAGAATGGCAGTCCAGTGAAAAAGTTTTTATATCAAGCGGTAAGTGCAAACTGAAATGAACATGTTTGTGTGCATTTGAACCCTATTTTTTTATCTAAACATTTACTACTTATAACTCATAAAACATTTATGAAACCGATATGTAGTGTAGCTATACTTTAAACTAAAGAGTAAAAATACTCTTAAAAAAGAAGCACTATCATTATTTTCAGGGTTCACATATTGCTTTATTATAATAAATAATTATTCCATGAATAAAATGGTGACGCTAGATCTCAGACACGAATGAACCCAATTTATATTTAATATTTTACATTAATAATAATGGTAATAAGTCTTTGTGTGACTTATGGTAGTAAATAAACTTCTTTCTTTCTTAATATTGAAATATTATTCGACTACTGGACAACGATTGTACTATTGTAATTATTTCCATTTATTCTTGCAGACCCCACTCCTATAACTATTCACAATACGGGCAACTCGTCCGGTACTTGGATAGTTAAGTTTAAGAGTGCTAGCGGTGATCCTACTGTAATTCCATACAAAGTGTCTCCAGGCCGGTTGGAGGTGCGTCCCGGGGAGACGCGGCAGATACATGTCGTCTATACCGGTTCTCCCGATGTTGCCAGCGATGGGTAAGACTAAATGTATCTCATAAATCTTTATTTCTCGACGCTCTGTAATGCTTTAAAATAATATTTATTTATTTTTGACCATCGAGAGTCAACGGGTCATGGCTTCGATCTCCATAGGGTCCAACATGTTTAAAGATTGTTTCTGGTAATCTTGATATTAAATGGGTAAATGTGAAATTCCGCCTGACTCATGAAAGAAACATACACAGATGAGAAAGCAATAAAATTTTATCTCCTTTCGGTTTCAGTCTGTCGATATCCTAATATCCGATGTCCAAATTTGAAATAGATCGACAGCGTATCTTGTTGATTTTTGTCTTTCCTGTCTGTGCTCCACTTTTTTTCACATTTTCCGCGGTTTCATCGCTCCTATTAGTCACAGCGCGATGTTTTATTGCCTATATAGCCTTCCTAGATAAATACTATAACCAACACAAAAATGTGTTTTCAATTCGGACTAGTAGTTCCTGAAATTAGCACGTTCAAACAGACAAACAAACAAACTCTAACTTTATATATTCGTTTAGATATGGAATAATTTTCAAATATTGTTAAAATGTTACATATTGTACAAAATGTCAAATATTGTTAAAATGTTACATATTGTACAAAATGTCAAATAGTGTAAAAATGTTACATATTATAAAAATAATTTTAATTGTAAACTCTCGATTTGTTCCTTTCCTGGCTTTAACACTTTTATTCCGTTTAATCCAAGATTTAGTAATACATACCTAGTTATTATTGTTAATGTTTTTATTTATTTTTTTGTTGCTTACTATTTATTTAATTTTTTCAGCTATTTACTACTGGAAGACGTTATAACATCAGCCATAACCAGCATTGCAATAACAGCTGGTACTGAGAAACAAAAATCATTCCCAATCAAAACTAATCTCAATAATATATCCTGGATCAAGGCGGGTAAAAAAGAGCTTAGCCTGAAGAACTCTACCAATAGCAAGGTGCAGATTCGCTGTCAAATTGTCGGAGAAGGATTTTATATAGGTCTGTATCAAATTTGCTGTTTATTTTACTACTATTATCTTTAGACATTCGCCGCCTTATTACATTATTTTTAATACGATGGAGCTAGAAAGGTTCCGATCATATTCAAAATTAAATACGGCTTCAATCAATTAACAAAGAACATCTGATTATAGCTACAGACATTAGAATGAATGACAATCTATAAAGCTGAAGAGTTTGTTCGTTCGAACGCGCTAATTTCGGAAACTACTGTTTTGATTTGAATAAATAAAATAAAGTAATAAGTCCCGGGCACAGTCATTGACAAATGTGAAGTGCGTTTGCGTCTTACTTATTTGAAAACATACAAGGTGTGGTAAAATTAAACGACTTTAGCGCTATTAATTGCGTATGAAAAAAATAAGTTCAAATTTGATTGAAATTTACTTTGTTATTGGAAATAGTTCGATTACAATGAGTTTAATCTATACAAATATTATAAAGAGGAAAGATTTGTATTTTTGTATGTAATGGATAAACTCTAAAAGTACTGGACCTATTTTAATTATTCTTTTTTCATTAGAAAGCTTTATTATCACTGAGTAATATAGGCTATATTTAGTACTTGATTACTATAGGCATCTATAGAAATTCTTACTTCAACCAACGAAGGCGTAAAAAAATTTGCCGTAAAATGTCTTTCTTCGCATACGCTGCAAAATGTATTAATGATAGGACAAAAAATGTTCGACTATATTATAGAGTATATCAATATCTACAAAAAACATCCCGAGATGCGCAATACAATTTTTTTCTAATTTAGTGATTAATGGTTCCTTTAATTAGCATGCTTATAATTTTAATATCTGTATACCTATTTATGTCTACCCGTGCGAAGCTGGGACAGGGCCGCTAGTGCATATATAAATTGAATGTGATAAGTCCGGCACCATAAAACTGATAAAAACAATATCTCGTATATCATTATTTTTCGGGCTGTTCCGGCCAACACCTCGATCGCGAGTAGCTAACATCTCTTGACCATGCCATCCGCTTGTGATGCCGAACTGTCGAGATCGTCTTCTCGCACACGTCAGCCGAACGGCCTGAAAAACAAAGATATGTTGAATTATGGCCATGAAAGCCTGACACAATTGTATATGTATTTTCCAGACTCGACCGAAACAAGGGGTACATATGTAATGTCCTTTGGTCCATGCGAGTGTCGTCCATTGACAATCCTATTTAATCCTACCACATCTATGCCGTATGCTGCTTCTTTACACCTTGTTTATGACAAAAATAGTGATTTCTCTAGAAAGGTATGTGCTCTAAACTCAGCCATAAATAGTACATTATATGTTAATTGTAGATAGAACCCATCAAATGAATGAAAGATGTAAAATCACCCAAAATTCTATACTTTTTCAACTAGTTTACTATCAAATAACTATAAGCAGTGGCGTAGCTATCGTAGGGCCAGGTTGTGCAGTGCACCAGGGCCCCGGAACTTAGAGGCCATCTAGCCTTATCTTTGAGAAGATATAAACACAGAAGAAAAGGATTTTTAACGTTCTTGTTGCAATTTATAATTTTGGAGGTTCATTTATTTCAAGCTATGCTAAAAGAGATGAGGACCCGATTATTTCTTGAGCCTTAGGATTAGGTAGACCGGGGCCCTTGTCCACCTACCTACTGCCTATAAGTTTCGGCTATGTCAAAGGTACCAAGAGTATTATTAATAGTAATTATTAAATTATAAATCTTTGACTTTTCAGATTAAATTACATGGTTGTGGTGGAGGGGAACCCGTCAGATGGTCTGGCTTAGTAACGTATGGCGAGACAGCGCTGGTGCGGGCTGTCTTGCGGCGGCCTATCGAGCTCACACTGTACAATCGTGGATCAGTACCTGCCTTTATATCGGCAACTGTACACTTTAATTGTAAGAAATTGCAACATTAATACTTCTTCATCAACCACACCGTAACATAAGCTATTGGTTTACTTGTAATATGAAATAAAATATAGACATTTATCTAGAAATTTATTGTATACTTTTAAAGACCAAGTTGAATACAATACAAAATGGGCAATCATTATTAACTGGTTCCATTTCTACATTACATTAATCACAAAAAAGCTAAATATCTCTACTTTCGAAGTAATAATAGCAGATTGACTATTTAATCGGACAGAGTCACCCCTTAGGCAAGTTGTGGGCACAATAAAACGTCGAAAATAAGGCGCGCACAAGCTTATACACTTGTCACCACTACTTCTTGTTTCCTCCTAGATGACGTCATCTCAGTATTCCTCTAACAGTATAAGAAAATTACAAACATATTATATTTTATATCTTATCTATAATTTTCACATCGCCGTAGTTAACACATTTAAATAAAACACTTTAACGGTTTAAAACGTAGTAGTAAGTAATTATGGTTTATGGTAAAAGGTCTATGTGATGCGTATCGATCTATGACTATATGGAAGAATTCTCATAGTATAATAACATATTTAATTATGTTTCAGTACAATATAGATGTCTATCATTCGACTCCGAGTTGCAAGGCAGTAGACGGGTGCTCGGTCGTCGAGGGCGTCACTCCGTTGTATTGAGAGTCAACTGGCCTCGACTAGAGAGGCGCGCGCGCGCTGTCGACGCGACTACCCTGGCCACGCTTACAGTTCTCACTGGTCCGGAGCTTACCCGTCGCCGTATGCTTAAGTGGGTACAGCTCTAGTATGTTAAAGTTAGTTTTTAAAGATAAAATCGTAATATCATAATTAAAATCTTCTTTTCATGTCTAAATACTAACAGATATCATAAAAACAATATTGATTTGATAGAAATTCCTAGTGGAATGTGTTCCCAGATCTGTACGTGGAATTGTAACTTTTGGCAGTATTCTAATTGCTTCTATTTAAAAATCTAAAAGCAATGTTTTATTCGTATTTATTTTAAAAACAAAATAAGCAAGATACACACAGTACAATTTTTTAAAATTATTTTTTTGCATTATTCTCCTTTTTATACACATAAAAATATTGTTTACAACAGAATTATTCGCGATGAGAAGAATGGTCAGCTCGACTCGTCTCTGCTGCCAGACCATCTCAAAGTACTTGTAGAGCAGTTTGAAGGAGAGGATCCCACTATTGATAAATACTTGGAAAACTTCAGTGAAACGAAGGTACAATATTGTGTTATTCTATGTAAAATTATAAAATACTTTTTATTCAGGTTTTTTTATTAGGAAGGTGTTTCCGTTTTAGAATTCGTAATTAATGCTTATTATATTTCCAGGCGTCGTTAAACGAACTAATAGAAGGCCTCCATGAACTAACAGCTCAAATCGACGTCCCTCAAGACTTTACCGATGACAACACAATACTTATCAGCGATGACACTGTTTTGGAACATCACACGCTTTGTGAATAATGTTTACGCGTTTCAAATATTTTAAGATACTGAATAATAGTTTTCCATTAAATTGTATGCTAATATTTAATCAAAAAGTCGTAATTTTGGCTAATGCATAACTGCATTTATAAACAGACAGATAAAGTTAATTACTGTTATTTTACTGTGTGACAGAGGGAAAACATTTATTTTTATTCTTACCATATGGCTATGGCTAAATATTACGCATACATATACTAAATATATTCTTCCCTCTCTATTCTAAAACATTCATATGTACTTAAATAGGGCTTTAATATAAATACAAGACTGTTACATTTTAACCTTAATATTACTTTAGTGATAAGTTTTTATTTTGTATGACGTGTGAAAACTGTAGAAAACCCCTCTTAATGTGATTTAGTTGTAATGAAATATCTATGTAATAAATAAATAAATTAAATTGTAAATTATAGCACCGAAGTTTAATTAGTAAAAAATCCATTTCATTTTTTTTATAATGCCTATCCATATGGACAGGAATTGTAAAAAAAATATAGACTTCACGGCCTGAACTATGAAAAGGTGATTGTGAGGTACTTATTTCCTTCACAGAAAATGGTAATTAATTGACAGGACTGCCTTCTGTCAACGTCATACAGTTCTTTTCTCCAGATAACAAATAATTGAATGACGAAAACAGTTAATGCTATAGTTAAATCTGATTAAAAATATCCTATGTTATGTATAATTACATCGGATACAAATGGTTATTTTGTGATGTAATTTTACATAGACCTAATATAAATGTAAAATTACATCGGATTTTACTTACAATTATTTTGAGATGTAATTTTACATAGACCTAAAATACATGTAAAATTACATTGGATTCTACTAAGTTGTTTTGTGATGTAATTGTACATAGATCTAATATACATGTAAAATTACATTGGATTTTACTTACTTAGTTATTTTGAGATGTAATTTTACATAGACCTAAAAATACATCGGATTCTACTAAGTTGTTTTGTGATGTAATTTTACATAGATCTAATATACATTCAAAATTACATCGGATTTTACTTACTTAGTTATTTTGTGATGTAATTTTACATAGATCTAATATACATTCAAAATTACATCGGATTTTACTTACTTAGTTATTTTGTGATGTAATTTTACATAGACCTAAAAATCATGTAAAATTACATCGGATTCTACTTAGTTATTTTGAGATGTAATTTTACATGTCTTTCGGTCTATGTAGAATTGCATCTCAAAATAACAAGAATTAAGTTTTAGTTATGTAAAATTACATCGGATTATAACTAAGTTAATCCGATGTAATTTTACATGTATTTTTAGGTGATGAAATTACATCACAAAATAATTTTACATAGACCTAAAAGACATGTAAAATTGCATCGGATTCTACTTAGTTATTTTGAGATGTAATTTTACATAGACCTAAAATATATGTAAAATTACATCAGTGTAAAACATGTAATTTTACATACAATCATTTTTCTAGTATATTTTTGTGTCTGGCCTAAAATAGTAAAGAAACCATGCTGCATCTCTAAATGACATTCTGAATTCGTCTAGGTAGGTTTAAATAAGAAAAAAACATTTACTTTCATATCAGTTTTATTTCTTAACCAGTTATATTTATGTATTCCATTCGTTTTGCTATTTTTAATCATTGTATCTAAGAGATTCGAATGTAAATCGCAATTCTGTTAGACATGACTTTAAAAATATTGCCTACAACTTATAAAACTAAAATGCATTTCCACTTACATTAATAAAGTCATTGAACGATGTTTATTTTATATACAGGACTAAACTCGGTTCATAGAACTCAAAATTATTATTTTATTAAGTGTACAATCCTTTCTTAGGGCTCCAGTCAACACTACGCCGAATTATTACGATGCAAATAAAATAACGCACACAAACTAGTACTTGGTCAAGTCGGAGCGTCCCGCAAAGGATTACAATAATCGAGCTTGGTGTTTTACATTACCCATGATTATTTATATCTTACACAACGAAAATTAACATTCTAACACACGCACACCGCATACATCGCACTCGTACCTCGCGCACACACACACATTCTCGCACACACTTCGCATTTGGCAGTTCATCATATTACACCCGCTCGGCCGTTACTTGCACTAGACACTCCAAAATAAAATCACACTGTCGAATAATAAAATCCATGCATATAAAATATATAAACGAGTTGTAACGCGAATAGCGGCCGCGCGGCGTCTCTACACATGCGATAAAATAACCTACTCTCGAAACAAAAATCTTATTAAAATGGAAGTACTTATTTTACATGTTCACGTTATAACTAATTTGGATCGAAAATGGCTGACATTTCGATTAGTAAAGTGCTTTAAAAATACTATGCTCGTTAATTTATTGCGTTCATACCTAATCTAGTGTCACAACAGAAGACGTTACGAAGACTACGATCCGCGGTACGTATGTACGGCGCTAAGTTTATAGGGACTATCGTGGAAAACGATACGAGTACATGATTTCGAACGGGCATCAGCGTCGACCGAGTATAATGCGTGCAAATATATACATTATACACACTCACACAATTTTACAATAGGAATTAATCTCCTTAAACTAAAAATTAAACCAGTCACTTAATAATAACATAGGGTTAAGATCGCCAACGATTACACTGGCCTAGGGCGGGGCGAGGCGCCTCTCGCTACCGTTACCTATCGATAATATGAAGAACGATGAATTCTATATAATTAATTAACGTTGAGGATTCACGGAGCGACAGACGGAAATTATTTTTAAATTTTCTAGTGAGCATGTGAGTATAACGCGTAGTAAGGATTTTTTAAAGACTTAAGACCCAATTAATTTTAATTTACCGCTCAGTAATTACAGGCTAATAATACATTACGAAATGATGAAAATATTTTAAGAAGACTTTTCACAAAGTTGTCGTAGAACTCGCTCCGTGGACCTCTCACCTTAAGATTACCGAGGCTCGTGAGTTGTGGTTGATCGACATTGTCCAACGTCAAATACGACCCTGCGACGGCTGAAGCGATGCAGACATATCCTATCAGAGATCATGGTCGCTCTATTGGCTTGTGTACGAAACGAAATAAAATAGTTTTGGTAATTTTCAGTGTCACTAACTTATACTTAATATTTAATTGCTAAAATTAATCGAACATCCGCTAAGTGAAAGTTAGTAGTAAACTCGGTTCAAACGGCGCTATAGTGTTGTATATTTTTAGACTGTCGTTCATATATTTATAACTATCACAGACAATATAAAAATAAAAAATCGAGATGCTTGTGATTAACCAATTAAAGCGAAAAAATATTTGCTAAACATGAGGTTGTAACGTAAGCTTTTCTATAATTGTGAGGCGTCGTCGCGACCACACTGCTGAGTCTCATTAAATAGTGTTTAGCATGGATAGATTGGCGCAAGGGAAGGGCAGTGTGGGTCCAACGAGGCCACCTATGTATATGCATAATACTCTACAGTTATACGGGTTTAAAGCGATACAACTTGTTTTCGTCTTGCTTGTAGGTAGCTCGTGTATTTTGTATAGGCACAGAGACAGATTTAGATACATCTAAAAACCTGTAATTCTATAGCAAACTATGTCACCGCTATTTATACAATATGGCCTATGTAGCTTCCTTAAAATACCGCAATACGTACAATATAATTTGCGTCTTCGTAGAAATATTACAAATAGTAATATCGCAATACTCATCATAAAAGTAACTCGTTTCTACATATGCGGTATTTGTGAAGTAATTTTGCGCGAGTAGAACCCGTGACGTCACTCAAAGACACTGCTTTTGCAGGTCACGCTAAATCTAGAATTTGAATTTACAGCCTGGCTTTGAAAAAGCGCACTATAGGGCGGTCGTCGTTGTATGTGTGCGTGCGTGATGGTGAACGTCAACGGACCCGCGCATGTGTGACCGAAGTCTGCGGAGCTGGTGGACTGTTCTCGAGGTTATCTGGGCGTGAAGCGACGTCGCCATCACACGATGTACGCGAACCGTGCGCTTCATCAAGCGCTTGGGCTTTTTGCGATTGCTCGTCGACATTTTGCGATTGCTCATCGGCGGAGTCCGGGTGATCGTCGACGGGCGAACGTGTGATGGTGTCGGGCGTGTGCTACGGAGCCCGGTAGAGGAGGTACGCGGTTAGCGCCGGTGGCAGGGCGAGCCGTGATGCGGCGGCTCGAAGCCGACTGCGTCCGACGCGTTGGCGGATCACGCGTCTACATAGTTCCATTAGTGGTAGTGGCTCAGCTGTAACAATAATAATGGCAATAAGTCCATAAATTCTAATGTTTTAATTAAAAGAGTAGGACAGACAAGCGATGGAAGGTGAAATACTCCATAGCCCATTTAACATCTAGACATGATGCGTTATCGACCTATATTTGGATTTTAATATTCAGAATCGTAAAAAATAAAAGCAATGGAAAAACTTTAATTCATCAATCAACAATGATTAGTGCTATTAGTAAGAAATAATACTCACGATCGAGGCCGCCGATGTACTTCATCGTGATCTCCGCATGACCCCAGACCGCAGAGACGATCGGGTAGAGCGTCTTGCCCCGAAGACCTCGCGCGGCGACGCCCAGGTAGCGGCCGTCCGCGCAGAAGGCCAGCGTGCCTTCGTCCATATCGAGTACCACTAGAAGCCTGTCTGGCACGAGGAACTGCTCGTCGGGCCGCAGCAGCGCAGGGTACGTACTCCCGCTGCCGCCCGTGCCTTTCGCATTGTGATATACCTGTAAGTCAGCGAATAAAGGGTAAATGATAATTTATTATTAACTTTAATATAACTAACTCAACCTAAGCTAGGTGGGTATAATATAATAGGCTTAAGAAATGTACCTTATTTCTTCCGAGATCCCATCCCCAACTCTGGTCCGTCGCGCCGACAAGGCTCTGGTAGCCGACCGAATGTAGCGGCGCGTGCGCAGTGGCGACGCCGACTACTGCATGCGTGCCTCGTTGCCGGGCTGGCCACACGACTTCCCAGCAGTGGAGCCCACGCGAATAGCCCACCCGCCCACGGATGCAGTCTGTGCTCTGCGCCACCGGATGTCGGTGAAAAGTTAAGGCATCCTCCTCTTTCACGAATATATTTAATGATCTGTAATCACAATGCGACAACCATTTAAGTACATGAAGATTTTTCTGACATTCCAGCATAAAAATAAACAAATGTAAACAAATACCGTCTGTAAATTACGCGAGTAGTACACATTTAAATAAAACACTTTAACGGTTTAAAACACAATATATATAAACTAATACATAATACTAGCATTCACGATAAACACCTGACTTTAAATATTATTTATAACGTAGTCTTTTTGTTCAACACTTTATTTACACTCAAATTATACACAAACCAATAAAATTAAAAGTTTTTGGTTTCTTCCTGCGACTTCTTTTATGCAGTACTAAAAGTTTTGAAATCGCAAAATTTACGGTTATCCTTGTTTACATTAAAGATTTAATATTAATAGCATTTAGTAACAAAATAACCCATCTTCACATATTAAGATTATGATTCGTACTAAGATATTATTTGAATGTAAAATGATTGAAATCCGTTATAGAAGCCTTGATAAAACAGAAGTTATGTGTTTAATCTTGTTATTGGATGCGACAACATTATTGTTAAAATTAATGTAAGTAACTATTAAATAGAAGTGAATCAAAACGCGGTTCTGTTAATAATTATAATTACACCAATTATTCAAGTTCGATCTGCGAATGATCTGTCGATACGGAATTGCATTTCGCAATGAAGACCTATTGACCTTATTGATAAGACAACCTTGCGTTACCGAATTCGATACGTATGAGGATTGGTAAATGGCAAGCGACAAGGACACTGGTGTTTGAGAAGGTATTCAAATAAAGTTTCCTCGCACTAGGTAGAATAGTGAAGGGGCCTGTCCACATACAGTTTATGGTGGGGATTCGACGTCGGTGGTGGAATATTTGAGACTGTCTATTAAAATCGAAAAGTTACCGTTTCAAAAAAATCAAGGCCGTTTAGGCGTTTCCTTGTACGGACATTAAAAAGTGACGTTTGAACAGCCATATGAACGCAACGTAATTAATTTTCGTGTTAGAGAATTGCCTCTAGGAAGCGCTGGGTGTAGCTAGTGTTTACTCTTAAAGTCAATACAAATATCCGCTTATAAGCCGGTGACTTTGCGTAAGAAGTTCCAACGCGTTCCCTTGGGAAAGGAGTTTTGTTTAGTGTAAATGTATTTCTGAACTTACCAACGTGAAAAAAATTAATGCTGCGCTTATCCAGGAACTTCTGTGATTGAAAATTTTAGATGTCCAAAATAACTATTCAACGAATAACAAAGATCGTAATGACGGGAGCGAACTAGTATTGAATTTATAAATATGAAGGGTTGTAAACAATTTTGACGTCCAAAATAATGTTCAAGAGGACGAAATCGCTGACACAACTAGATTGCATATAGTAATCGAATATTTACTTACAGATTTTGTTTTTGATTTTTTTTACTTTGGAACGAATCTTGATATTCTCTTAAACTAGGTACCGCTGTCTCGCTCTGTGTGTATATGTACGAGAAGGACAGCTCGTAAGTTTATTTTACGTACAACATAATAGAAGCCAGTGATCTTAGAAGGATGACACACAAATATCTTAGGGGACTAGTGATGACAATACGTTATGCGCAGGTAGAGCAGGTGGTCGCCAGGATTCCCACGATTTACTTGCATTGATATCCATTTATCCCACCAGAGGCAATTGCATATAAAAAGAAGATAATAGCTATAAAACATATAACTACTGACGTAACAATTTCAAATCAATTATGTGTATCTTTATTTGAATAATATACCAGACCTTATCTGGCAAATCCGTTCAAATATTTTCTTTATTTTTATGCGCTATTCATTACAGACTGCAGAACAAGGGAATTCGACTGATATATATTTTTCATTACTATTCGACCTAGCGCAAGTAAACTTAATAATTTAAAATCTCTTTTTGAAGCTAGTTAAGTTCGCATTTCAATGACTTTTTAGTAGAGAAAACATTATTATTCTTATTTTAATTTATTTGTACTCACAATAAAACAGCCCCGTAATATACTTAATTATTACATTAAACTTACTGGAATAGCCTCAATACTAGTTGTTATTTTATTATTAAGGGATAGACAATAAATATATTGTATTTAATTTATTAAACAATAAATACTAAATACTTTAATAAACGGGTTAAGATTACTTTTATAGAAGTATGGCGGGTTAATTATAATAGAAATAATTAATAAATTTAAGTGAAAGCGACGATGACGTGTATGACACGGTAGCTCAATTGGTTAGGGCAACAGTAAGGAATGCTGTGGATGCAGGTTCAAGACCTGCCCGAGTCGTAATTTTTTCAATTTATAACCGATTTTTAATTAATTACCTATCATCCGGGTTCCAGGCGTGCTTGAGCTGCGTGTCGGAGTGCGCGGGCGGCGCGTCCAACAGCGCGTCGAGACGCGCGGGCCTCGGCGGTTCGGGGGCCAGCTCTCTCGCCACCACCGCCTTGAACGGAGCCGTGCACTCCCGGGACACGGACTTGACACCGCCGGAGAGCTTTTGCCCCATGTTCATTACCCCCCTGCAGCGGGTGCGCGCGCGCTTCGGCAGCGCCTTGAGGCCGCCGCGCCGCGCCTCCTCCGCGCCGCCACCGCCACCGCCCCTCACTGAGCGCTCCCCGCTCTTGTACCTGTAACATCAAATGTCGAAGTTAGCATATTTTTCCTATCACCACGACGATCCTTAAGACTACACGACTCCCCGACTTATCGCGGAAATAATCTCGTTGTGCTCAACATAGCTATCATCTTTTATTGCGAAAAGGTATTTTCCTTTAGAACAATCACGGTATTACTAAACTAGTTATCAGCCAGAAGAACTGTTAGTAATTATACTAATTGACTGGATTTACACGGGGCTACCCTTTCATAGTAATTTATGCGTAATATAACTGAAGTAAGGTACAGAAATGATCCTTCGTGTAGTCTATAGATGTTTAAGTTGATATTTTTCGCTTAGGTATGAAACGATAATAGCGTTAGCAAACACAAACTACAATTTAGGATCTATACTTTTTTTAATCTGGTGTGAGATTCATAAGTGTACCTAGATAACTTCGTGAATAAATTACTTTTGATTTTGCTAAATATAATACTACTAATATGACCCATTGAGAATGCCATTCTACAACTATAAGACAAGTAGAGTTCAAAAAACCGGTTTCCCACTAAGAGAGTGTTTCCGTTCGCGACAGTCTCGGCAGATGTCGTCGAGGCAACGTCTTCGAGCAGCGCCGCGCGGCCATCTTACATAATAGGCGGCCGCCTAACCGTGAAAGTCGCCGCTCAAAAGCCAAGGTTACCGCGGCCCTGGTGCCGGCTCTAATACATGCGAACGAAATCTAATACGAAATGTTTTTTATCATCGCTCTGATGTCATCGCGTAATTGTGAAGTAAAATCAATCATGACATCAAGAAACCGCTTCCAAATATTATTAACGACGCGTTCAATGCCTGCATATGAACTTGTGTCATTTTAAAGAGAGGACGACAGACAAGATTAAGGTGGGAACTTAGTGGAAGGTCTGGAAGAGATCGCTTAATAGCGATAAGGCCGTCCGTTACACTCCATAGTTTAAAGATAATTATATTTTTCTGGTTCATTGTAATTGTGTGTGTTGTGTAATAAAAAATAATTAATTCGAAAATGTACAGGTTTACCTGGTGGACGGTAAACTTTTGATAATTCTACCAGTCTTTAAACTTTCTTCATAGACAATCTCAGCGTTTTTAGACATATCGAAATATACTTGACAATAAATGCATTTTGTCAAATCAACGATATCTTTCATCTTTATATTAGTACAGATCACGGCAAAGCTTTGTTTAAGATAGGAAGGGACGCCTAGCAGGCAGACAGAGTCACAAGGCCGAATCCGATCGCCTAGAGCGGTAAAATAAAAGCGGGAAGTGAAAGGTAGTGAATGTACCCTGTCGATGTCGTCGCGTTACCTCCGACTGCAAACCTCTTCAACCAAAACGGACAACAATTCTTTCGGTCGAAACCCGTTTGTGAGCGGATGCACTCGACATTCTAATGTAGGTAATCCGACGATTCAACGTATTTAGAAGTAGAATATACATGCGAAATAATAATGAATAAGTGAACATATTTGTAGTATACATATGTAAAATCATAGTACTAGTGTCCATAGTTTATGCGAGTAGTGCACATTTGAATATAACATTGTAAACGGTTTATAACACGAAATATATAAGTTAAACTTGTTTATAAACTATTTTTACAACGGCCTGTCGTTTCGGATGCTTCGCCGTGGTCACGGGTCTTCGCGTAGACTGTAAACGAATTTATCTTATATATTTCGCGTTTGAAACCGTAAAATGTTTTATTTAAACATTATAATAGTATTTTAAAGATCTTACGAATTGTTTTAGTTTAGTTTTAATTCCCAAAACAACAGTAATAACAAAATTGGTTTAATTAAGGATAGTGCATGCGTACAAAAAAGAGTAAATAAAGGATAAGACTCACCACAAACGGACGAACAAGATCGTTATGTGGTTTTATTTTTACTGTTTGTCTGTATCTCATTGCAATATGCGCGACGATTTTTCAGTCACCTCCGTTGATGACAAGCTTTTACTTGGCTATAGATGTAGACTAACATCTACCTATAGCCAAGAAAAAGCTTGTCGCAATTGACCGTAAAGTGGACAAGCGCCACGTAACTAATTGGGCGTTTACGTCGCTTAGAAATTACACTGATCACGATCGAGGCAAATTAACTGCGTCACTGTAACAACGATTTGAATAATCGACGCTCCGATACTCAGCAGCGATGAAGTAATCGAGTTGTCGGAATTGTCTTATAAAAAAGGTCGATGACTCATAATCACTTGGATTCGTATCGTGGGAAACCTATCGGTCAGCCAGGTGATATCGGTCGAGGCGTTCGCTAAGTATAAAATTGGAATATGGGCAAAGTAAATGCCGAGCGAGCGCGGCGAACGCTGCAGATAAGGAGGATCCTTTTACACTATGCTGTAATACTTATAGCAACTTCTTTATGACGTCACTCGATTCAACGACTTATTTAGAAAACATTAGAAAATTAAATAAAACACTTTAACAGTTTAAAACGCGACATATATTAGTTAAACTCTCCCCGTCATCACTTGCTGCGAAGCATTCGAAACGTCGTGCCGTAGTGAAAATAATATTGAAACAAGTTTAACTAATATATGTATTATATCGCGTTTTAAACCGTTATAGTGTTTTATTGAAATGTGTAAACTACAAGCAGTATTTAACATTAGAAATTGCTTGACTTTGGTTTCAAAACGCAGCTAAGTCTTATCAGTGTTTTTGCTTTAATAAAAATTACTTTCAACAAAACAAATACCTAAAATAAAAGCGATTTCTTATTTCGTGAAACTTTCTTTATATTTAAAGATATCCCTTTAAAAAACAAAACACTTCCCCTTTAAAAACAGTGAGTTTATCGTTGTTGGTTTCAGTCTGTGTATAAACGAATATTCGAAAGCGCTTCATGTTTGGATGCGCATTATATGGCTGGGATATTTCACCTACCATCAAGTAAACCTCAAGCTTCTCAGTCTTACTCTATCATAGAAACACTATTGTTACGATATAACTTAGTAATACTAAATAGCATAGTCTAAAAACAGCTTGACGTTCACGCTCGGTGAGAGGTGAATGGAATCGAGCGTCGCTAGGCCGACTACATTAGCGTGTGCCAACTGCCAACGAACAATGAACTAGACAAATGACGAACATTCTCCGCACACCGCACTGTAAATATTGCAGCCACTTACCATTCGGCGCCCTCTCCGCTGAGATGGTCTTATAAGAAAATACACAGAGTCGCGGTGGCTTCATTTATTCACTAGGGCTTAAGATAATAACTGATCCACTGTAGAAACTGCTTTATTCATTTCTTCAGTTTAAATTAAGCTCTTTACAGAATATGCTATACTAAATAAGTTCAAAACATAATAATTATTACCTATACTGCTAAGCTAATTACTAAGCTAAAGAATTTGTTTGTTATTGCGCTAATATTAGGAAGCACTTGTGCTTTGGGTTCGATAGAACATTTTCGAGAAACGCTTGCTATATGACATCACGTTGCGAGCGAACAAACAGAAAGAAAATACGGGGAAAGTCATCATACCGTCTTTAAGGGTTCCCGGTGTGTGCACTGGCGAAAGGGGTTTAAGAAACCAATAAATATGTATAAAGGAAAAATGATTCTTTTTTTTTAATGTTCTTAATAGATACCTACATTGAGATTGACTTACAAAAAACGACTGGACGTATGCGACGTCGTAGGTAACAGCTATAACGTATAATGCTGAAGAGGTTGGTTTTTGAAAACGAATAATATGATGGCCAAAACAACTATTCCAAGCGGATGAAGTCACGGGTACAGCTAGTATAAAATGAACACGTCCACACTTGTCTTTAAGTACTATTAACATTGGACACTACGTATTGTGTCTCGTAATGAGTGTACGAGTCATAATCATTTAGTGACACAGATGCCTATTAGTTCATAGCTCTAATTGATACAGATGGACGGCATTAGTGGATCTTCATCAGAACATAGGTTATAGGATAGATTAGTGGTAACTACCATCGACATTGGCAACAACTGCTCGGTTAGCCGGCAACGAGCCAGCATTCAGACATCGTTAAGTTCTAGCTTATTGACTGCTTTACAGCCTCACTACGTTAACTGTGGATATGCAATTTCGATGGGCGCGTTGATGTAACAATGCGTGGCTAATAATCATCGTGTCGTGTGTTTGATCTTCACAGGGTCAAATATGTTTCTCATCGATCTATATATTTTTTTAAACATGTTGCACTTCTTCTGGAAATGGTGGTAGGAATATTAAAATTCCGTCCGGGTCACAAACCACCGTCCACAGATAGCCTTGAAGGTTACTTCAAGGCTATTCCTTCCGTTTTAAGTCTGTAAATTACCGAATATCCAAAGGCAAAATAGGTGGACAGGGCATATAATTTAGATTTAAACAAAACATTTTAAACGGTTTGAAACGCGATATATTTCAGTTAAACTTGTTTGAAAATTATTTTTAACTACGACCCGACGTTGTGCGACGGTACGACCTACCATCAAGTGAATTCCATCTTTGTCTGTCCTCATATGTCATAAAGAAATACAAATTCTGTATGAAATTAAAATTAACATCGACGCTACTGAATGTTCTCGATATATCGACCGTTTGTTCAGTGCTACAATAGGGACGAGCTGTACGAATTTTCGACGTAACACGTAACAGAATATGGTCAGTACCCATCTTAAGAGACACATTGTCACCGCTTTCGAAATAACCCGTTCGTCCCAAAGCCGATTTCACAATCGCTGCATCCACGTTAAATATATCTGCAAGTGATCGTTTCGAAATTTAAACCTCATCATACTGGTGACGAAAAGAATCTACACTAATATATAAAGCTGAAGAGATTGTTTGTATGTTTGAACGTGCTTGAAACGTGTGAAAAATTATTTTTGTGTTGATTAGAGCATTTATCTAGGAAGGATATAGGCTATTACATCGCCCTGTGACTAATACAGTGAGAAATGTAAAAAAAATTCGGACTATTCATCCTTATGGGTG